GTTTCTAAACAACTGTCTTTTCTCAAAGCCCCAGTTAACTAGACAATTCATTTTTCCAGACACACAGAGAGATGCTCTGACAATCCCTCCAGGGGAAAGGGTGAATAGAGCTATCTCACTTTGAAAATTAAGTTAAACCCAGGGTTGGTCGCCACGTCACCCATTGCCAATTGGTCTTTGGTGTTGGGTGCTCTAACATGGTAGGTCCTGTGTAGTTAGTGGGCCAAGTCTCTCACCCAGTTGAATTCCTCAATTTGTTTTTCGTCTGTGCTTCAGTTAAGCTCCATTGTATATTTGTTTTTCTGTCAGTTTGGCTTGTGAGCCCAATTTCGAGTCCAGGTCCCATGTGAAGGAGGATGTGAAAGAACTATCCCACATCAAAAAATTAAGTAGATGCAACGTTGGTTTATATATTTGTCGGACCACTCCACCCATTACCAATTGGGTTTGGGTTTAATGCTCTAAAAGAAAGAAAAAAGGTAACATAAAAACTAAGATCTTATAACCTTCGTCTTAAGAGAACACCCTAAGAAAGATCTTGGCAAAAGCTATTGCTTCAGTCATTCAGTAGCCTCAAGTTAGAGTAAACATCAAGAGGAGAAGCCAACTTCACAAAAACAACACCACTTTAATTGACTTAAAACTCACATTGTTACACAGAAGACTTGTGGCCATAAAAACCAGATATAAACTTGTACAGGAAATAACTAGGATTGCGAGAGAGAGAGCCAAGACCTTGAAAATTCAAATATTATAAAAAGAGGTCAATAATCTGGTGGAAAATGTTGACATTCTTAGCACTGATGTGCTCAAAGAACACACCGTTAGGCAAATGTGAATTCTGTACTGAGCTTTCATGCGTTGTTTACTGAGATTTTACATATTATCATTTGGATGAAAACAACCTTCTATATTTTGTTTATTTTCTTATTAGTAAACAAATTTATATCTTTGACAATGCAAAAAGGTAAAATCCGATGCACATCCCAAAGGGGAAACATATTCAATAAATCAATGACAGGAACAATAATTAGACCTTGGATAACTAAGAAAAAACGTACACTTATTATTCTGAAAGGGAAAGGAAAGATATACCATTTGTATCACTTCTTGGCCGGCAGTGCATAATTTGGCCACTAGACACATCGAGTATGAAACAGTGAATATTCACTTGGAGCCTATTGGGTTGTATGCATGCCACTTATATTTCTACATGATAATATGCCAAACTCGGAATTTCAGTTCACCGTGTTCAGAATGGTGCCAACCATTTGGTTGTACTTGCTGCCAAGTTCGAACAATCACATAGCATATTCAAACAATAAAATGAAAATTGAAAGAAAGAAAAGTTTGCCTTTAATCTTTGCTCTTCTAATGCAGTATACAAATTCTAGAAACAACCCAGAGGCAAGGCATAACACTTTATATAATGTCACGAGTAATTGGTCCTATACAAAAAAAAGGAAAATTGGATACATACCCCAGCAAGGAAGCAGAATCTTGGACCACGCGAAGAGGAGCAGTACCACCAATAATTAACTTTCGGAATAGGGGAACTAATCCAATGACAAACCCAGCAAGCTACACAAAAAGACAATAACTATTTCAACAGTGAGATCCCATGTTAGAACTTCTTCACACTACACGAAGGAAAGTAAACGACAGTATCATAAGTGAGTTCCAATAATCCCCCAAACACGCTTAACAACGTGATAAATACATTCCTGTGCTTGATAAAATATTACCCAAGTGGTACATAAGACGAATTATCCAATTATAAAATACCAACTATTCACATCAAATCTTTGACTCTGCGAGTGTAAATTTCAAAATGATAGACCCGTACCCACTATTTCACAAGGTTGTACACCTGATGAGTGTCACTATATGCAATAAGCTAGCTCCCTGCTTGTAATGATGCCCATTATTGATTACTAGGGGAAATTGAACACCTTCTGACCCTTAACCATTAAGACAATATAATTTGTCCCTAACATGTTGTGCCCTTCCCAGCCAGTAAAAGACTGAGAAGGACTGGAACTCCAAAATCATCTGATTTTCTAGGTTTGCCACTGTCAATATCTTGTAAATATGAGAACCAAAATATAATAAAATGAAAAAGAAGTTGAACAGAAAAACTAATAAGGATAGAAAGTATACCGCTCCAATAGTTGAAGGTGCAAATAGCGCATTCAGATTAATCTTTCTTGAAAACTTCCCTAAATTTTGTTTTATCTGATCCAAAACCTGGTACAAAACTAACAGTCAAAGAACATTCATGTTGCATATTTTGTGGGGCACATAACATTTATTGATGTTAAAATTATGCTAATGGGAAAATTCAATGCTCTTGAATGCACTAGTTTCACCCTCGCATCGAGGGAAATGTTAGTTTTTATCCAACATGCATGACCTGACACCATTTTTTTGTACTCGAACGTTCGTGCTTACAAATCAAATAGCTCTATGTGGGGAAAATACAACACTTCACGTGTAGGATCTTTCAACTCAATTATACATGAGGAATCGCACGCTAGACCTAGAGGGGGTGAATATTTTAATTTAAAATTAAGCTCGAATGACCTCCCATTTTAACCTATATCTACAACAATTAGCTCTTCTCAATCAAATATAGAAACTAATGATGAGAATCCCTTTTCACATGAACAACCTAAAACATTCATGTAGATTAGTGTATTGATTTTATCAATTTGTTGATTAACACTCAATCTCACATGACGATCCTAACCAAGGCAACTCAAACCCAATCAAGCAACTATTTGTGTTACGTAGATTCAAATAATCAATTCATCAAACACATAGTGCCCTTGTGTGTATCAAATCACAAGTGTATATGTAAAAGCAATAAAGAATACAAATGATTTATTGACGCTGAAATCCTTCATGAGAAAAACCGCAGGAAATTTTCTCGGTTCACCAAAGTCAAATCCATTAAACCCAAAAACAATCTACAAGTACTCAAGACTTATACATCAACCAATCTACATGGCTAAATGCTCCTTTGACGTTATGGCTAACTTCACTTGAACTCTTCGCCGCACAGTTCATTTAGGCCTCAAGCAACCTTCAAAGCTTCACACCCAAGACCTCGGTATGCACACTTCTCTAAGTGGGTTTTAGTTGATACCAAGTAAGATCTTCTTCTTCAATGTGTGAGGTTGAATGGAAGAATCAAAATAGTTGCTCCTTAATCTTAGGGATCTAGGGTTGTTCTTAAAACACTCTAGAAGGATTTTTAGTCTATTCTAGCTCAAAGATGCTTACCCTAGGTTTAAGATATAGCCCCATATATATAGGATACAAAATAAGGTTTGTCTTGGGAATCAAGAAAACACAGATTCACGTTGGCCTTTCAAGCAGTGGAAGGGTGGTCATAGAGTGGTGGTTGCTAGAGTAAAAGATCATTCTACACCTCTAGACAGCTCGAGCGGTGGAGGGCGGTCGTAGAGCGGCCATCAATCGGTCTCCACTGATTTCTCTAATTTTATCTCCCTAAATGTTTCAGAAACCACTCTAGGAAAGGCTAGCGAACATAGAGTAATTGCTACTAATTTTTAAGCTGAAAACCAAGTAAAAACTTGACCTATTGAACATTAAAAGGTGTTGTCCAAATAGGGTTTGATAAATGACTCAACTATGTTTTCAAAATATATAAATGGTTTAGAAAAAATTTTCTTTTAAAATCACCTAGAAGTCATAATCGGATCGTTTTCAATTCCATTTTCATCCTAATCAACTTAAGTTAAAATTAGCTAAGGGTTCATATTAGATGTTTATGTCATTACCTTTATCCTAAGCATCAAGATATATACGGAGGTTGAATGATATAACTTTGACACTTGATCTCCTCCTTTCAATGACGCTTTCGAATCTTGAACTTGATAGCATCATAACCATGGAATAAGTTGAGATTTTACAATGGACTCCACTAAATTAGTCAATTACAAATATAATTTAACACTCTAATTCCTGTAAAAGAGATGCATGAACTTTTTTATCCATTCTTCTGAGGTGACTCACCTCAAATAAGATCGAAGACGCTGGTAAACCAATGCATAATAGCTCATGGAAGTAGCAAAGCTCTTGAGGCAAAACACCAAAAAATTAAAAAGAAAGTATGCCAATAGGGCTATATGACTGAGACAAAGGGTAAGGGCGTTAGATTGAGCTTTCACTTCTTTGTTGAGGATATTTTCAATTGGTAAACTGAAACCATATGACTCAGAATCGATTGTTGAATAAACCAATTGAAAATGAAATTAGGGTGTCAGGCTGGCAACAAAGAGTCAAGATCCAAAACTGTAATGCACAACAGTTCTTCCGAGGCAAACTTACCAGGCTTTTAATTCAAGCAGTATATTTTCCCTGTTTCTCCAATTCTAATATAACATTAGCTAGTACAAGATACTTGGTACAACAAACCATTGAACAACACATATTTGGTGAGGAGGTGGTGTAAGCCAACCTTTAATTTTCCTTTACTGGGCAGCAAAAACTCATTTGCATGGTCCACAGAGAGATTCTGATGTTGCAATTTGGTGTGGTTTCCTAAGAGAGGTTCTGATGTTGCTTCAGTAGACTTCATACTGATAGTGGAATCATCTGGGCCAATACTTTCAGGGACCTTAGTTGAGGACACCCGCACAATGTTGTAAACATAAGACCACAAAAAAATTGCTCCTACCTGAAGTATCAACATGAGCAAAGATTAGACTCACTGGAGATTTTAGCCCAGACATGTACAGAATTGTTCAGAGAATTATATGTATGCTTGCGTGTGTGGTTTATATTTTTTTTTTGCTATTGCAGCAAGAAATTACAGAGATTATTATTAAGCAGAATGTTGAGTTTCGCTCATCAACAAAGTTGAATTGTAACTTATAAGTCAAATAAGATGAACTGAAGAAAAGGTGAGTAATACAAGAATACAAGGTTCGCAAATATTTAACCACAAATACCAAGTATATTTAGTTGGCACCTTGCCATTAGTTCAGCATATTAAATCCAAAACCAAAAAGAAGCTACTGATGACGTACCGCCATAGAAAGTGAAGCATAAGACATTCCATATGCATGGCAAATATCAGGTGCTCCAAATGGACTAGCTTCTTCTCTACAAATTGCTGGGATGATGATTAGAGGCAAGTTCCCCAAGTTTCCTGTTGACATCAACTCAATGCATGAAAAGGTAATGGATGCAGTTATGTAGAGTAGATATACTGTCAAATTACCAATTGTCTCCTCAAGTTGACAGACCAACAGAGAGGCATTTACTATGCTAAGCAGTATCAAATATTTATGGCTTTTGTTATGTATCTATATGGAACCATTACCACTTGAAGTGGTAAAATACCTAAGCTAGCAATCGTGGAGGTTTTTGGTTCAATTCCAAGAGCAATCACTTTGCGCAAATATTGTCATATGTCATATCTGTACCTAGTCTACCCATCCCAGCCTCCTTGGTTAACAGGAACAAAATTGGTAAATGTTATTTGACATGTTTATAACAAAAATTCTTAGAAACTTCGGTCACAAGCTTTTTTTCTGACGGCACATTTTATTGAGTCAGAAGTTTTTTTGCTTTTTGCTTTATGTTTCAAAATATAAATCAAAGCAACCAAAAAGACAATCTATCTGGAGTTTGGATTAAAGCTCCCTTATCTGTTAAAGATTCACTTTCCTATTTTACTTTCGTATTACGTCACTTTCCAACTATGTTCTACTTTCCTAATATTGAAACTATCTTTAATATCAATTTAATTTGCATATGTGATAAGGTTTTGGTAACACATCTTGCACATATTATTTTCTCAATCTCTTTCTCTCTTCTCTTACTTCTTCTCTCTCCTAAACTTACACCCTAATACTTGATTATTTTAGTTTCAACTAGGCATCAGAGCATTGTTTCTCATCTTTCTCTTCTCTTGTTCCCATCTTTTCTCCTTTCTTTCTCTTCTCTACCCACTGTTCATCGCAATTGTTCATAGGTTACTGTTCATTGTGAAACTTTGATTGCTTGTATGAAGATTTTTGGATCCTAAATCATGTCAGATAAGTTGTGATGGCTGGTGGTTGAGTTCCTATTGTTGTAAGTGTTTTTCGTCACTGTTGAGATTACAATTGTCTCATTGTTATAGTCTTTGTTCTGTCTTGTTCTTGATGATTGGGTAACAATTTTGTAGAAAAGAAGTGTTTTAGTAAAACCCTTATATGTGCTTGTATTTGACCCATTTTTTTTTAGGTGGTTTTGTTTTGGGTGTTTCTCGCGCTTGTGTATCTTTTTGGGTAGCTCCAGTGGTGGATAGGCTACCTGGTTGTGTTTGAGCACATTATGGTTAGACTCATAGCTTCAATGCGTGCGGATGGAGAGGGATTCAAACCCCCGATATTCTTATCAATACTTTTGTTTTCAAGACCGACTCTTTCAACCGCTCAGACATCCATCCCCTTCGCACTTCGCTTGCCCTATCTATCCGCGCACCGGCAGTTAGGAGATTATCTATGTGATTCACTATGTTTACTTGCGCCTATCGACAAATTCTATTGCCTGTTGGTTAGCGAAACTTTTTCAGTAGTACGAATCGCTACACTTCGCCTATTTTTATATGAGAATATTTTTGGCTAATTTTGATTCTTTCTAAGTTATTTTGTGTAATTGTTGATTGTTTGTAGATTATTGTTCTATTTGGTCCCTATTGTTGCATAGTTGACATTGGTTTTCATTATGGAAATTTTGAAGGATGTAAAAGCCCCCTTCAGTGGATCATCAGGTTATAGTTGTTCATTCAATGGATGATTAGACTAGACAGATCACTTTTGTCTCACGTCTTCGACATGCTTCTCTTAATCATATGGCTTCTTCATCTACAAGAGTACTCTACCTCAATATCTATTGAGAATAATAGTGATGGTCATGGTGGCTGTGGTGGTGGTCATTAGCAATGGTGGACATTATGTTCGTTCTAGTTGTGGTAATCATTCTCAATGGAAGTGTACTTATTGTGGTGGCACAAGACATATTGAAGATTATTGTCTGTATAAATATGGGAGACCAACATATGCTAATCAAGCGTCTAATGATACTTGGAATTCTCGGATACATCAAACTTTACTGATGGTCCAGTTGCATCTATTTTTGTTTCTCATGATGACCTTTCTTCTCAACTTGGTCAACTCATCGAACAGTTATGATTTTCTAATCAACCCTTTAATACTGTAACCAAACAAACCCCCAAAGGTATTTTTGGTACTTTTATGGTTATATATATTAGGATGTACCTATGTAAGCATAACACACTACACTTTTCATATAATCGTTTCTTTCTCTTAAATCTTTCTTCTTCTCCTCTAAGCCCTAACAGTCTTGCAAACGAACTGTATATACACCATCATTTAGTTTAACTCCTCGTGTCTTTAGTTATATGGTCTTTGTCCATCTGTTTGGTTCTGGTTGTGACAAACTGTCACCTCTCTCAGTCAAGTGTATCTTTTTAGGATATCCTCATACTCAAAGAGGTTATCAATGTTATGATCTCATCTCTCGTTGCTACCATGTCAGGGCTGATATTACGTTTCTTGAATCATCTCCCTTCTTTTATGTGTCAGCTCATCACCTTGTTGCAAATTTGACATCTCTTAGTCGAGGAGCTTTTGTTACCTACTATTCCAAACTTTATGACTTCTCTTCCATCAGTGTTGGCTCCTCCACTACAAGTTTACCATCGCTCCAAGGATAGACAAGTTGTGTCGTATGCTCCAACACTACAGCTAACACAGACTTCTATTGAGGTCTAGCCTCCAAAGTCACGTGTTACTCCATCGTCTTATGATCTATCCATTGTATTACAGAAAGATACTCATAGTTGTACACATCCTATTTCTAATTTTGTCTCATTTCATCTGCTTTCCTCATTTTATTTTGTTTTGCATCATCATTATCTTTCGTATTTGTTCCTAGCACTTTCAAACAAGACTTATCATCTCCTAGATTGACAATGGATGAAGAAATTAAAGTCACGTGTCACGTGTTACTCCATCGTCTTATGATCTATCCATTGTATTACAGAAAGATACTCGTAGTTGTACACATCCTATTTCTAATTTTGTCTCATTTCATCAGCTTTCCTCATTTTATTTTGTTTTGCATCATCATTATCTTTCGTATTTGTTCCTAGCACTTTCAAACAAGACTTATCATCTCCTAGATTGACAATGGATGAAGAAATTAAAGTTCTTCATGAGAATCAGACATGGAACCTCATTTTGTTTCCTCCTACTAAGCAACTTGTTAATTGTCAGTGGGTATATATTGAAGTATTTTCCGCTGGTTCTATTGAGCACTTAAAGGCGTGAATAGTTGTCAAAGGATAATTTAGACATATGGTGTGGATTATTGTGAGATCTTTTTTTTATGTTGCTCTTCTTTACTCTGTTAGAGTTTTACTTTTTGTTGTAGTGAATTTGGATTGACCTTTGTATCAACTAGATGTAAAGAATATTTTTTTACATAGAGATCTATCGGAGAAAGTACATATGGTTCAGCCACCGGGATATGTAGTTTCTGGGAAGGAATGAATAGTATTTCAGTTGAAAAAAACATCGTATGGCGTGAAGCAATCACCAGGTGTGTGGTTTGATAAATTTAGTGCAATTGTGCATCAGTATGACTTTTGTTGTGATGACTTGTATTCAAGTCAATTGTTTTTTATATGGACTTTAATTGAAGACATGAGTTTTCATTGGAGTCCTTGATGGATAAGTTTGACCTTAATTAGGATTATCTTGGTTTTATTATTTTAGTGGAGTTTAGTCCAACATGGACTTTTGTTATTTAAACTCAAAACCTTCGAGGAGTCTTTGATTTTTTGTCCTACACGTGAGACCTCCTCAGCATAAAGACTTTGTGAAAAAATCAAATTCCTTAGTCCAGAAGCTAGATAAAAAAGACGTCTTCTCCAGTGAGTTAGTGGTTGGCCATTGACGACGGTACAAGAGTTTTCTTTGTGTGTGATAAATTGATATTGCTCTATTTTGTTAAATCCAATAAATATTTTATTATTGGAATAGAGCAGATATCTAGTTTTCTCTTTGATTTGTTCTGAGAACGTTGTAATCTCCAACCTTTCAATAGTGAAATTTTGGCATTATGTTTCGTTCGTAGATGTAGGCTTGCTTGTTGAGCCGAACCACGTAAATCTTTGTGTTCTATTTTTCTATTTCGTTGCGTTATTATTTTGCTTGTGATTTTGTTTATAACAAATTGGTATCAGAGCTATTGGTTTCGGGATGGCTACCGCAAAATTCGAGATAGAAAAATTTAATGGTAAAAAAAATTTAGTTTATGGCAGATCAAGATGAAGGCATTGCTTCGTCAGCAGGGTTTGGCAAAGGCCATTGATGGAACTTTATCCAAGGAGATAGATCAAACTAAAGTTGTTGATATTGAAGAAAAAGCACACAGTGCAATTCAGTTGTCTCTTGCTGATGAAGTTCTTCATGAGGTTATCGATGAAGACAAAGCCGAAGGGTTATGGAAAAAGTTGGAGAGTTTATATATGAAGAAGTCTTTCGCCAACCGCTTGTATCTGAAGCAACGGTTGTACACACTCAAGATGAAAGAAGGTACGCCCATTAATGAACATCTTGATGAATTTAACAAAATTATTATTGACTTAAAAAATATTGATATTAAAATTGGGGATGAAGATCAAGCCCTTATTGTGTTATGCTCGCTGCCTGATTCGTTTGATAATTTTGTTAATTCAATGTTGTATGGGAGAGACTCAATCTCTTTAGTTGATGTGAAATCCTCTTTGAATTCTAAGGAGTTGTGTACTAAATTGAATAGTAAAGACAGTGATACTCAAGCCGAGGTTTATTTGTGAAGGGTCGTCATGATAATTCCTCTAATAATAATAGAGGTCGATCCATTGAAAGAAATTCAGATAAAGGAAAAAAAAAAGTTGGATATCGATCACAGTCTAGGAAGAAACAGAATAATGTTGAATGTTTTTATTGTCATAAAATTGGTCATTATAAGCGTGATTGTTTTAAGTTGAAAAATAAAGGGGGACAAAAAAATTCAAATCCTTCTAATTCCTCTAGTGTTGCAGAAGATACATCTGATGGTTCAGATAATGTCCTTACAGTCTCTGATGGACGTTTTAATGATGAATGGATTCTTGATTCGAATTGTTCCTATCATATGTGCCCTAATAGGGATTGGTTTACCACCTATGAGTCAGTCAATGGTGGTTTAGTCTTGATGGGAAATAATGTTGCTTGCAAGACTGTTGGAAAAGGTACTATTCGAATTAAGACACATGATGGGGTTGTGAGGACTTTGACAGATGTACGACATATTCCAGAATTAAAGAAGAATTTGATTTCCTTGGGTACTTTAGATTCCATTGGTTGCAGGTTTTCTACTGAAGGTGGAGTTATGAAAGTCTGCAGAGGTTCCCTGATTGTGATGAAAGGTAAAAAGATTAATAGTCTCTATGTTCTTCATGGTGATACTGTGATTGGTGCAGTTGGTGTGTCATCTTCAAAAATTTCAGATTCAGATATTACCCAGTTATGGTATATGCGTTTGGGTCACATGAGCGAGAGGGGCATGGAAGTCTTGTGTAAACAGGGTTTGTTTGGCAAACAAGAAATTGGGAAACTTGATTTTTGTGAGCATTGTGTCTTTAGGAAACAGTGCAGAGTCAAGTTCAGTACAGCTATTCACAGGACTAAAGGTACAGTTGATTATATTCATTCAGACCTTTGGGGTCCTTCTCAGGTTCCATCTAAGGGTGGTACTCGGTTCCTTTTGACCTTTATTGATGATTATTCAAGAAAGGTTTAGGTATATTTTCTAAAACGCAAAAGTGATGTTTTTGGGACTTTCAAGCAATGAAAAACTTTGATTAAAAAACAGACAAGCAAGAAAGTCAAGCATCTCAGAACAGATAATGGTTTGGAATTTTGTGGAGGTGAATTTAATGAGTTTTGCAAAGATGAAGGCATTGTTAGGCATCGTACTGTCCGATCTACTCCACAGCAAAATGGGATTGCAGAGAGGATGAACAGAACTCTTTTGGAGAGAACACGTTGTATGCTCTCCAATGCAGGATTGTATAAAGACTTTTGGGCTGAGGCTGTCAGCACTGCTTGTTATTTGGTTAATCGTTCTCCATCCACTGCTATTGAGTTGAAGACTCCATATGAGGTATGGTCTGGTACTCCTGTTGATTATTCTGATTTAAAAATATTTGGTTGCACTGCTTATTGTCATGTGAATGATGGTAAACTTGAGCCTAGGGCTAAGAAGTGCATATTTATTGGTTATGCTAATGGTGTGAAAGGATATAGATTGTGGTATTCTGATCCTAAATCACCTAAGTTTATAGTCAGTAGGGATGTTGTATTTGATGAATCTTTCATGTTTCATCCGAGAAAAGAGTTTGTAGTTTCTACAAGGAAATAACAGGATTATAGCAAGGAGGTGGAGCTACAGGTAGAAGCTTCACAGAATGTACTTGAAAGTACTCCAATTCAATCTATTTCAGATTTGCCTGCTTCTAGTTCAGGTGATGATCCACAGGAGCAACAGGAGTATAGTATTGCAACAAGCAGGGAGAGGAGGCAAATTAGACCCCCTCAAAAATATGGATATGCAGACTTGGTGGCTTATGCACTGACTATAGCAGAAGAGTTTGGTGTTCAGGAGCCTTCTACATATTTAGAAGCTGTCACAGGTAAAGAGTCTGCACATTGGGTTGTTGCTATGGCTGAGGAAATTGAATATCTTCATAAGAACCAGACTTGGGAATTAATGAAGTTGCCTAAAGGCATGAAGACTTTTGGCTGCAAATGGGTCTTCAAGAAAAAGGAGGGAATCCCAGGGGTTAAATCTGCAAGGTACAAGGCACGGTTAGTTGCAAAGGGCTACAGTCAGAGAGAGGGTGTGGACTTCAATGAAGTTTTCTCACTAGTGGTAAAAACATAGCTCTATTCATGTATTGCTTGTCATGGTTGCTTCACTCAATCTTGAGCTTGAGCAACTTGATGTAAAGATAACTTTTCTACATGGTGAGCTAGAGGAAACTATCTACATACATCAACCAGAGGGATTTATTGTTCAAGGTAAAGAAGATCATGTTTTTGCTTGTTGAAGAAATCATTATATGGTTTGAAACAGTCTCCAAGGCAGTGGTACAAACGTTTTGACACCTTTATGGTAGATCATGGTTACTCTAGAAGTAATTATGATAATTGTGTGTATCACAGACAATTGTCAAATGGTTCTTTGATATATTTATTGTTTTATGTGGATGACATGCTTATTGCTGCTAAGAGCATGTTAGAGATTGACAAGTTAAAGAAACAGTTGAGTTCAAAATTTGAGATGAAAGATTTGAGTGTTGCAAAAAAAATTTTGGGTATGGAGATTCACAGGGATAGAAGAGCAGGTATGTTATATTTATCTCAAAAGAAATATATTAAGAAAGTTATTGAGCGGTTTGAGATACAGAATTCGAAGCCCCTGAGTACTCCACTTGCCGCTCACTTTAGGCTTTCAGCAGCTTTATCACCACAGAGTGAGAATGATGAGCAATTTATGTCTCGTGTTCCTTATTCTAGTGCAGTTGGAAATATCATATATGCTATGGTTTGCACTCATCCAGATATTTCACAGGCAATTAGTGTGGTTAGCCGTTACATGGCTAATCTTGGGAAGGTTCATTGACAGGCTGTGAAATGGATACTTCGTTATTTGAGAGGCACTACAAATGTTGGCTTAGTATTTGGTAGAAGATATGACATCGATTCTACAGTTGTTGGTTTTGTTGATTCAGATTATGCGAGTGATCTAGATAAAAGGAGATCTCTGACAGGTTATGTGTTTACTTTATTTGGGTGCACTGTAAGTTGGAGGGCGATCCTACAGTTTACAGTTGCTTTGTCTACCACAGAGGCAGAATACATGGCAGTATCAGAGACAGTTAAAGAAGCAATTTGGTTAAGAGGTTTGGTCTGTGATTTGACCAAAAATCAGATGTATCGTGAAAGGACCAAGCACATTAATGTTAGGTATCACTTCCTTCGTGAAGTTATGGCTCAAAGTATTGTCACAGTGAAAAAGGTTACTACAGCGGTGAACCCAGCAGATATGTTTACTAAGCCGGTACCAGTGTTCAGGTTCAAGCATTGCTTGGACTTGATTGGTGTCTGCACTATTTGAGTGTATCCTTTGGGGTATTTGACGAAAGCAACGATCAAGTTCACATTGGTTGGATGGATAGATGGAATACAAGTCAAGGTGGAGATTTGTTGTGATGACTTGTAGTCAAGTCAATTGTTTTTTATATGGACTCTAATTGAAGACATGAGTTTTCATTGGAGTCCTTGATAGACAAGTTTGTCCTTAATTAGGATTATCTTGGTTTTATTATTTTAGTGGAGTTTAGTCCAACATGGACTTTTGTTATTTAAACTCAAAGCCTTCAAGAAGTCTTTGATTTTTTGTCCTACACGTGAGACCTCCTCAGCATAAAGACTTTGTGAAGGAATCAAATTCCTTAATCCAGAAGCTAGATAAAAAGGACGTCTTCTCCAGTGAGTTAGTGGTTAGCCATTGACAACGGTACAAGAGTTTTTTTTGTGTGTGATAAATTGATATTACTCTATTTTGTTAAATCCAATAAATATTTTATTATTGGAATAGAGCAGATATCTAGTTTTCTCTTTGATTTGTTCTGAGAACGTTGTAATCTCCAACCTTTCAATAGTGAAATTTTGACGTTGTGTTTCGTTCGTGGATGTAGGCTTGCTTGTTGAGTCAAACCACGTAAATCTTTGTGTTCTATTTTTCTATTTCGCTGCGTTATTATTTGCTTGTGGTTTTGTTTATAACAACTTTCAATGCTCTAATTCTAACCATTCTTATTTACAGTCATTGTTCTCATTATTTATGGCAGTGACTTAGCTAGTATTGCCCATTTTAAGAACTATTTGGGAAGACAGTTCTACACAAAAAATTTAGGCCTTCTTCGGTACTTTCTTGGCATTGGAATAGCCTAATCGAAGGAAAGTATTAGTTTGTGTCAATAGAAGTATATTTTAGATTTACTCTCTGAAATAGGTACCCTTAGTGCATGCCCAGTAAATATCCCAATGGATCCAATTGGTAAGTTTATTTGTCTCACAGTTACACATCATGACATTACTTATGTTATTGGTGTTGTTAATCAGTTTATGCATACTCCTCGTAAACCTTATTGGAAAACTACCTGCCGTATTTTTCAGTATTTGAAAGGCACACCCAGTAGAGGATTGTTATATCAACTGTCATCCTCCTTAATTGTTACTGAATTTTTTAATGCTGACTTGGACAATAGTCATGCTGATAGACAATCTAATTCTAATTATTATCGGAGGTAGTCTTGTTACATGGGGCAGTAAGAAACAAAATGTGGTGGCATGTTCTATTATGGAGGCTGGATATCGTGTCTTGACTTATCTCGTACGTGAGATGTTGTGGGTTCGCTTTCTACTTCGTGAGATGGGTGTTGATGTGTCGTCTACTATGCAGATGCATTGTGACAACCAGACCACCATTTTTATTGCCACTAAAATCTAGTATTTCATGAGCATGACAAACACTTCGAAGTTGATTGTTATTTTATTCAGAATCTCACGTGAAAGGACATTATCACCCCTTATGTAAAGCCTCATGAGTCATGATCACCTTGGTGATATCCTTACTAAATCATTGACACAGTCCACCTTTAGTAAACTTTGCTTCAAGTTAGGCATTTTTTATCTTTATGCTTTAGCTTGAAGGGGAGTGTTAAAGATTTACTTTCCTATTATGTCGTTTTCCTACTATGTTCTACTTTCCTTATATTGTAACTGCCTTTTATATCAATCTAATATAAATAGGTGATAGGTGGTTGATAAAACACATTATTTTCTCAATCTCTTTCTCTCTTTCTTTCTTTTTCTTTCTCCTAAACCTATACCCTAATACTTGATTATTTGAGTTTCAACTTTATCACAGCAGTAAATACTGAATTCTTCAAATTGCCTCGCTACCTTGAGTTTCAGAATAGAACCTGATTGAGAACTATCTTTTCTAGCAGGGGCCTAAAGACTGAAATGAAACAGATTGTGTCCTACACCAACACTCTGGCATATCTGAGATTATATATATACCTACCTGCTGCACATGACCCCAATACCAGGCCCTTCAGATGTTGAGGAGCTCTGGTTATTTTCACCAGTATCCAACCTAGTGCTGAGCCAATGATAAATGTTAGGAGGACATTGAAGGGCATATACCACCTGCATAATCCATAACAAGTCAAACCATGAACGAGCCCAAAGAATGGGAAAAAAACTCAGAATTGGAGATGAGTCAAAGCATACAGCTCAAAAACAATCATTAAGGTGAATTAAACTCACAACAATTTGATGCTTTCAAGAGTAACTGTATTAGCCAGGTTGCTACCCACGAGTGCCGGATTGAACACAAAAAATACAACCTAACTACATAGAACAAATAATGGAGTTATAGCATCCAGTTTTAGGGAAATGAATAATTTCTTCCCCATGGTAGGCTGTATTAGTAAAAGACTAAAGACCCCTGATGACATCAAGAACCAAAATGCAAAAAATAAGAGCATACTCTATTCAGTTGCTTCTTTGCATTCTCCCCCAAGACATCTATATGCTCTAAAGCAAGAAACGAGCCAAGTGCGGTAATCAAGAGTACTTTTAAAACAGGCATGGAAGCAACACAAAATAAATCTAAGAGCCCCATTTTCAAGCTGCTCGCCGAATTTCAAAAATATTCAACTCCTGCATCAACAAATAAAATTTTAATTTACCAGGAAAAAAAAAATTCAAGCTAAGGCCTTGATCAATCAGTGTTTGTAAGCCCAACAGGACAAGCAAAAAATCTAATAATGCAAGTTTAGTATGCAACACCAATATGTGTGTGTGTGTGTGTTTTCCTTTCCAAGTAAATTCTCCTGCTTTAGGTTATCTGACAACGGCAATGAAAAAATGTATACATTACCTTGATAAAGCAGTGGACTATCAAATTAAGCAGAGAAAAAGATAACGTTGAAAGAGAACTCTAATAACCACGAGACAAAGGCAGCATGAACATTAATGGATGATAAGGTTTGAATTGGATGAAGAAATACATCACATGTATGAAGGACTTGCAGACACTACATGTCCCCAAAAGGGCAGACTAATCTAGAAAATTAATCCAAGCTGTGATTCGCCAATGGAAGAGGTTGATTGTCAATACTTTCGTAGCATATGCACTTAAGATAAAGCTGAATAAAACAGTAAAAAATATACAAATAAGAAGTAATTATTATTGGGTGATGTCACCATTCAAAAATCATGATTGAAACAAAACTTGAAGCAATCACTAATAAGCTCCCCCATGTCTCTTATTACTGTGTTTAACAACTTAAATAGCTTGAGACCTCAAATGCAGAGCACCCTTATCTCTCTCTCTCTCTCTCTCTCTTGCTGTATATATATATATATAAAGACATCCAGAACTTAGACAACTATTTAAGATAGCCCTATAATATCTTATCAAGCTTCCATGGATCGTCAGGAATTTACATAAAGCGAAAACCACCTTACCATGTCATAAAAGAAGGCAGATTGGTCATTAAATACTATTGAAGATCAAATCCCATCTTTGAAGATCAAATCCATCATTGGTGGGATCAATAAATTTTCACATTCTTCTTTATGCAAATCCCTATTATTATGGATGTGATTTTCATATATCTCAATCTCAATTATTATGGGATTTGATTGCAGCTTCACCCTATGCATATATAGGGTATAGCTCATATGTGCTGTACACCAAGTACCAATAAGAAAATGTAGCTGCTATGGGTATTTGGTCAATGGATGTAGGTTTTATACACTGCACTACGTAATTTTTTTGTGTGATTCTTCTTCCATTTTCCATTTTATTATTCAAGATTTATAATGGTATCAAAGCAAGTGACCCTTCACCTCTCAAATTGTTCGACTTATTCTGCTTTATTGGCTATGAATTGTGCTAACCTCTGTTCTGCCTCTGAGCTTTCTCTATCAGTGTCATCCAGATGATGCTAATTTTCTAGATTTCCCCGCCTCCACCAGTTTTTCCCAGCCGTGGTAGCAATTCAAAGCGAGTTTGTCAGGTAGCACCCAATACTGGTAGTCTAGTAGTGCCATACATATGACCCACCCCATCATCTCATAACCGAGAGTGAAATTGTTCTTCACATTTTGTGATACTTTCCTTTGGTCAAATAATTATTTTCCTAATTACTGTCAGGACAATGTTATCTGTGACCCAAATTTGCTTTAACCCAGTTTTGGGTTTTTTTAGGTTCAGCTTACTAGCACATTTCAGCCAATTTGCTATAATTGGGTCCAAATTAGGCTAGATCTAAAATTGCAAGAAGTGTCACTTACTACACTCTCAAGAGAAGTTTTATCAAGACAATAGCAATCTCAGCAATTTAAGCATCGTGTCTCACTTTTGTGCAATTTCAACCACTACAATCCTAATAACATACAACGAAGCTGCCCTCAACAGATTCAACAAAGTCACAGTCATTGAAAGCACTTCACATATGAATTCAAGTTGGACATTTCTCTTTCACATTTTCCTTGCCCAATTTCCGTGGGAATACTGAAGAAAAGATCCAATAATGATTTTGGCAATAATGGGTTTTAATCCAGATTATCGATAATGACATGTGACCAAAAGAGGTCAACCAATGAAAAAAAGAGCCTACAATAGTTATAACACAGAAAGAATGTACTTTGGCATGAATATGGGTGTACCACCAGATTCTAGGTAGGCTTCTAAGTCCTACCCGAGCAGGTAACCACTACCTATAAATACTGGACAAGCTTAAAGGGTCAGCTTATGAATTGCTTAATCTCTCTCTAGCTTCTTATTGACTTAAGCATCGGATTACCTCCAACCTGTTTCGCTCTGTCTCTGACACTTTGTGAGCGAGAGGTATCAGCGACATAATTCTTTCGTGTTCTGCTTCCATTTTCTCTCATATTATCTAAAGCTTATAGAATGTGGCTAAGCAATATCAAGTGAGAGAAATTCAAGCGAAGCAACAACTGAGAGAAATCGACATAGTGTCGTTAGAATGAGTAAAAACTTGATACTATACTCACAGTCCTCATCTACTAGTATTTATAGACCCAAGGCATCCATTTAGATAAATGAACACGACCTTTTAAAAGGTTATGACTTTTAACATAATCACAACTTTTCCAAGACTTATGAGGGTTCAAATTCAACCCACCATTTTTTCTCTCTCTATCTCTCTCAGCATGCATGAAAAAATAACCAACAAAAATTATATCCATCAAAAAGATAAATCTACGCAGCAGTACTGACTAATGAGTTTAGTTCATTAAACAACAAAGAAAATAACAGAAACAAAGAGAGAAAGAATCAGAACAAACCTGTTAATAAATAGGATCTACGAGAAACCAGCCTTCTAGTAGTGAACTGTTTGATTGAAACCTGAGCATGGAGGGGATGATAGCGCGGTGGGGGACGAAGAAACTCTGCCAAGACTGATTGTTCGTTCAGACAAGCTCAAGCTCAAGCTCACGCGAGATTGACTGAACCATTTGGCCCCCCAACAACTTCACCAACAAAACCACCTGGTGAACCGGGATCGGATAGGCTCTTGTGTATGGACCTGTGCTTGGTGGGACATCACTCAATTTTGCCTCCATCCCCCAATCATTGAAATTTGAAACTACAAAATTGAAATAAAATAATAAATAAATAAATAAAAATTACTGGGTCTCAATTTTCGTCCCCATTCCGATTATTGAAAGTTGAAACAAAGCAGCCGCCGGTTTTAAATATTTGGGTTTTTAGGAATTTTTTTTTTCTTAGCTATTTGTACGCAGTGAACGATTATAACTATTGAATTATAACTATTGAATTGATAAAAAATTTCAATTAATATTAGAGTCTATTGACAATCTAATATTAGATAATGATAAAGTTAACAAATAAAATCTTTGTAACATTGAATTAATTATTACATAGACCTTATTATAAAAAATTAAATTTAAATAACATCGTCCTTACCTATATATTCTTCCGTCCAATATAGACATGCACAAAATGGTTTCATGGTGATCAACCAGACCCAAGCTTAACTTATAGGCTACTATTTTCTATTTAATATATATTTTTTAAGATTATAATATTTCATGTTTTGTTATTTTGCATACTTAAGAAAAGAAAATAGTATATATAATATACATTAAAAAAAAAAGGTTATGGAGACTGCAAAACACAATAAAATGTAAAGAAATTGTTTGTTCTAAATATTTTATTCCCGCTGTCGAAACTTCCTTGTATATGATTCCAATACCAACGATGAAGAAATAGTGAAGAAATGCAGACGAAACTTCCTTGTATGTGATTCCAATACCAATGTTGTCCAAACTTCCTTGTATACAGGGGTGGAGCCACCCTGGGTGGGCAAGGACCGAGTAATTAGTGGACTATGGTGGGCTGAAGTTCAGAGTTAAAAAAAAAAGGGGCTTAGGGAGGTCGGTATATTTCAAAAAATTTAATAGGATAAAAATACATTTTTTAAAATAATTGGGATAGAAGTACATATGTTAAAAAAAATCATAAAAGTAATTTTACCCCTCCCATAAATATTGCATATTTAATTGAATGTGACACATACACACACACGTAATACAGCGACATCAAACAGTGACACGCTCAACAGAAAAAGAATAATATCAAACAGTAACACACTCAACAAAAAAATAATATCAAACAGTAATACACTAAATAAAAAAATAATAACATCAAACAGTAACACAAAAATTTTCGTTGAACGTGTCACCGTTTGATGTTATTATTTTTTTATTAAGCGTGTCACTATTTAATATCATTTTATTATGTGTGTGTGTGTGTGTGTATATATATGAAATTTCAAAATTCAAGAGATACACAAATATCAACAAGAATCTTGAAAGTCTCACATTCAAATAAGTATGCACTATTTATGATATGGATAATTATGGAATACATTTTAGAAAGAATTTGAAAATGTTTTAAAATGTATACTTATTGACAACTATTTGATGAAAAATAAGATTTGAAAGGAGGATAAGTTTGAAGGTGGTACTTAAAGTCAAATAAGTTTTGAAAAAAATACTCACATCTCATTATCTCAAAAAAAAATTATCATTTTCATACAAGACTATCAGTACCAGCCCACTAAATCACTAATTAAGGCTTAAGCCCCAATAATCATAGAAAGAAATAATTTTTTATGATTTTCTATTTCTATTTTGATCGGAACAGAGAGGGGATTACGTCAACGCCAAGCACTTCGATTTCGTCTGTATCGTCCATTTGTCTTCTAATTCTACTCGACTAATCCTCTTCCAAGAACCACAAACAGGGATTACACCTAAGCTATGTGAGGTATTATGACTCATTTATTGTCTCCTTGATCATATATTCAGACATTTTTTGGGTTATTTTCTCTAATTTTTTGTTGATTACTTTTTAAATATAATAGTAGAATCATTGTTATCTTGTTGATTTATTTCTCTGGTTTGTTTCTCTAATTTTCAGCCCTTCTCTACTTTATTATAATGGAAAATCAAGAACGAAAAAAAGCAAAAATAATTTTTTCGTTCTTCAAAAAAAAAAGTGGAGAAAAAACATCAAATTCTACTCTTGAACCTTTGAATCTAGTAAAAACATCAACAAGTGTTGATGTTTCTATGATTCTTGTGGTTGTTGAATTTTAAGGTTCTCAACCTCAAATAAAAGTTCAAAGGATTTCTTTTAATGAGAATGAACTTGAATGAGATCTCGCATTTGTGTATTCTGAAATGGAAACAACCTGTTTATAATCAAGATGAAGTTAGACGTGCTTATATAAAATGGAGAATAAATCAACCTATCTTGGCTGAGTATCCGATGACTAAAATTGGAGTTCAAAATCAAAGATTTTAGAAAAGTTTGTACAAAAAATTTTCATGGCTAAAGTATTCTATTTCAAAAGATGTGGCATTTTTGTTTTCCGTACTTTGTTGTTCAAGGTAATGAACCTCTACACCCTGTATTTACCATTGATGATTTTAGTAACTGGAAGAAAGTGAATAATAGGGTCAAATGTGTTTTCTTGTCACATATGGGAGGTCCTGCTTCCGTACACAATAATGTTGTGAGAAATGTTGAGACGTTGAAGAATATATCAGTGCACATTGATAAAGTTATGAATGTTCAAAGTTCAGAAAAAATAAAGAGAAATCAATTGTGTCTTAAGGCTACTATTGATAGTGTTCAATGACTTACTTTATAGGGATGTGCCTTGAGAGGTCATGATGAATCTATAATGTCAAAAGAACCGTGATAATCTAATTGAAATAACTAGTTTGATGACAAAGTTGAATGTTGGGATAAATGATGCTGTCTTAGAGAAAGTTTCAAGAAATGCAAAGTAAGAGATATTTTACATTTTCTAGCTACTAAAGTAAGAGAAAAAATCCGTGAAGAAGTTGAAAATGTCAAGTTTTGTATTTTGGTTGATGAAGCAAATGATGCATCGAATAAAGAACAAATGACAATTGTTTTGAGATTTGTTGATGTTCAGGGTTTTTTGTAGGAGAGATTTTTTGAGATTGTGCATGTTAAAGATACCATTTCTTTAACTCTTAAAAAAAATATCAAAAGTTCTTACTCGACATAATTTGCACATTCGAGATTTACCAAGTCTGAGATATGATGGTACTAGTAACATGTGTGGTACATTTAATAGATTGTAAGCTTTGTTCTACAATGATTATGAGCATGCATACTATGTTCGTTGCTTTACTCATCGTTTACAACTTGTATTAGTTGCAACTGTTGATTTTACTGCGATTATGAGTATGATGTTACTGCGATTTTATGTATAAAATAAATATTGTTGATAAAATTTATTTGTAACACTTTCAAATAATAAAAACATACCAAAGTCAATTGTAAATAATAATAATTAGTCGCATTCTCGATAAGAAGTTTTAATTATTATTTTTTTATTCAAATTACGTATATCGATTTTTAATCTTTTATGTTTAAAAAGTATTAAATATAATTTTAACAAATATAAATCTCAGAACTTTTACAGTCTCTTAAAAAAATTAAAACATGCTAATATGTCCACCCTAAAATTTTTTTTTTACTCCACCCCTGGTTGTATATGATTCTATTTCAATTCCAATGCATGAAATCATGATGTGTAATGGTTATTAAGTTAAATACGTATTCATGTATTCATTTATTACGCTCTCATTTGAATAACTATCGCTCTAAGAATATGCACACTTCAATCCTTGTAAAGAAAAACAAGTTAGAAACAACTTATGTAACCATTTGCTAATGCTTTTGTAAATATTTTTTTGCTTTTTTATTTTTGAAGTGATGAGTTTTATTAGCATTTTATTTTGTATATTTATATATATATATATATTTTTCTTTTTCTTTGTATAGTCTTTGAATTGTTTGAAACGATTCAATCAGCAGACCAAGACAAGTAATATTATTTGTAGTTTTTCTAAAAAAATTAAAAATTTATTATCATCAACGTATACTACAACAATATTGATCTAAACACTTATTTTCAATAGAAACGCATAGAGACATCATACTTCCAAGCTGGGAATAGTTTTGATGATCATAACAACACATTATAAACACACAATATTCATATGCTCCATCTATCTAACATAGAAAACCTTGTGTGATGGTATTATATGGGATAATTATACTACCACCAACATGAAGACAAAAAAATTTGCTCCCACTTACATTGTTAAACAAAACATAAACTTTCATCAATGCAAGATTGAAGTGTGTCAAACATATACAGTATTACCCCTCCATGGAAAGAGGCTATTCTGCCACTTGAACTTGAAAAGAGACAACCACAATTATAAATGGAAATAGAAGATAATAAACTCACTCTCATTCTATCACAACTGCAGATTCAATATAGATTGAATATATATATGTAATTCAAGATTGAGACAAAAAATGATTTTTACTACTCGATAACTGCCCAAGGTGAATGCTTAGAGGGCAGCAGACACACAAGTGTAAAACCTCTTGCAACATTACAAAGCACACAACCAATTTAAAGAGCAACTACATGTACAAAAATTATAATGATACAAAATACATGTCTAAATAACAGGTGTTGACAAAGATTTTCCTTAGGAAGCTGACACCATCGATGCCAAATCCAATTCTTCATCAGAGTCGATCACATCCTCATAGTCATAGTACGGATTCACCTGCCACGGAAAACCACATCAAGCTCAACATATATAAATACACCTATGTATTTTGTTTCAGTGAGGATGACTTCTCCGAAAACTTGGAAACCCTGCAAGTCAATGAATATGGCTGTGCATGAAAGGTTGCTTTCTATCTTTGGACAAAGGCTCCACCACTGTAAACCCAAAAAACAAAGGCGGCAAAAAAAGAAAAGAGCAAAGAATACGATGATTCATGGACCCTTGAATCCCCCTAAAATACCTCACATAAATGGAAGTCTCTCTAAATTGACTGGTTGGTTGCACTCAGACTCCTGAAGGTAGCTACGCCTTGTCCAGCAAAATCATGAAAACTAATAGCATCTGTCCTAGTCTAGATAGTAGCATCACACTTTCTGAGAGAAGAGTAGCATCAATTACCTTTGGTCTCGGGGTAATTGCTTCAAAACTATGGAACCGTGGAGTATAAAAATCAGGGGGTTCCAGAACAATATATGCTCCTTTATTTTTATACCTCTCCTCTGTTGCCTGGGCAGTAAACAAAGTATTACAGACAATATTAATTTCTTGGTTTTCTCAAAGCAATCCAGACTCGCTAGATAAATTCATAGAACACTAATGTAGAATATACAATTAATTGATTGCAACTAGTTTTATGTAGAAATGATAGACAGAACATAACAGGCAATATTAATTTCTTCATTTTCTCACAGCAATCAAAGTTTGATATATTCCCAGAACAATTTGTGACAATTGATGCATAAATTTATTAATTCAAGGCCCATAAACAACTAGCAAGAGTAATATCCTATGTCCCTCGGCAACAAAGCCTCAGGATACCCAAATTACCCACTCTAATGTACAGTAATTTAATCTCTATAGAACAAAATAGTCATGCAACGTTATTTCTAACAGCTTTACAAGAGATTCTGTATTTTGAAACGTGGCCATCTGCTCCAGGGATTGTATTTAGATAACATATGTCTTCTTGAAGATGCATCATATAAGACTCGTATGAACCTCAAAAATGCCACGCAAAATGCAAAATGCCCCAATATTTGTAATATAGACAATGTGACAAAAAACATGTCTTATTTTATACAGACAATATAGAAGCGCTAAGCCAATGAATGGATAACTACTTCCCTTCCTAAACAAAGTCTTACAAGAGAAATGCTGAAATCAAAATATGCAGACAACAAAAACATTGTTATAGGTAGCAGCAAGAAAGAATACCTATTACAACATGCAAAAAGATACCTGAAACTGGGGATAGTCTGGAGCACTGAACAGAGTAATCAGTTTCCCAGACTCTACCACATGATCTATTGTGTATCCTTCATTCATCCCTCCTAGACCTGGCCGTTTGTCCCTTGCATCAGGACCTTCGTGTGATCTGATAATCAACTACAGAAAAACAACAATAACCTCGATGATTGAATTGCAACTCCTAAAAGTAGCTACTCCTCAAATCTGTCTTTCAAAAACAAATACATAAACAGACGGATAAAGAAATACTGATAACACTAATGAGCATATAGAGGCACACAAATGCACTAACTTGGTATCTTAGTGGTAAAAAGCATTTAATATTCATTTTATCCCTGAAAGAGAATAGTACAGGTCTAATACAGAAAAAATATCCAAAAGGAGGACGGACATGAGCCATAAATTGTTGAATTTATTGGCCAGGGACCATTTATAAAAGAATCAGGTCATCATAAAAGCTATGCACTTAATAAATGTATTGATTTAGCAAGCAAACGGCACCTGAAAAATCTCAAACAAAAAGAGACAAATGAGTAATCTGTATATGCATTCAGAAAGATTTAGTCGATGACGTGAATGGTTTATTAGTTGCATTTCATGTTGTCTAAACTAAATGAAGTTATGCAGCTAAATTAAATCTGATACTCTAATCTTATTTTGACTTTGGAACTCAAATATAATATATCATGAATTGTAATATCAAGGTCACACGGGCAAGTTCATTTTTCCCATAATTGTACAGTGTTGGACTGCTGGTAATATTTCAAGTTCCCCGAGCTGGTTTTAATAAGGTCAAGATGAAAATGCATAATCAAATTCTCAAGACATAAGCCAACAGGATATCATTGATAATATATTTTATACAACAACAATAGATATATAGATTTGTGACAATCACCTTTAAATTGAATTCCTTCAAAAATTTGTCAGTACAGTCAGGACCCCACAAAAGACCAATGCCTCTTTCTTTATTTGGAGAAAGACCAGGGTTCATTGACGGGTCTGACCACAGCACATCACCAGGAATCAAGTTTACACCTTCCCATGGAGGATCAAGGACAGATCTCCTAGCTTTAGACAATTCCTCCAACGAACCAAGAGATAAAGAATTGACTTCTGGGTTGAAGACTATTTTACGATTCCTCTTCCCTTTAGCTCTTTTTGAAGGGGTGGCCACTATGCTGCGGAAAAGCCCTCCATGAGCTGTATAAACATGCCCAGCTATGATGGAAGCAAGGGGAAGTCCTTCAAAACATCCTAAACACTTCCTGTAGACATGTTTTCCACTGTCTCCATACTTGGCCAAAACTTCCTTTTCAAACCCATAGACAGAAGTACAGTATTTTGATTCATGATTTCCACGCAGAAGGTATACACTATGTGGCATAAAAACCTAGCAAAATGCATCATTCCAATAAAGTTCTCAATTTCACTTGCAAGAAATCTCATCCTACACACAAATAAAGCATTCACTTACAATTCGGTGAAATATAACCAGTTTCTGATAAGATCACTAAATGATGGATTGGGAAGAGAAGAACAAGGATGATATTTTAATACTTCAGAAAATGTACATAAAAAAATTAAGGAAGACAAAAGTTAACAACAAAATATGATAAGTGTGGTTGACTTGACAATTACCATGTTAAAAAGCATATTTTATCATTACATATGTTGAATCCACCAAAATGTGAGTTCTTAAGCTATTCCTTCACTTTGTTGGACAAGCCTTAAGCCTGCCCTTTATCATTTGAGGGAAATAGGGTGTTAAAACAAATTGAATTGAAACACACTAAATTCAAGAATTCTCCTTAAAAGTGGAAATACTGCGGCATAATCTTTTTTCCTTCCTCAGCAAGACTAACAATAGCATATTGGTCATAAGACTATGGCAAAACATAAGATTATAAATGCAATATGTATGCATTAAAACTTAAAAGTACTTACCTCTAGTGCTATTCCCCACTGATAATTATACATCAAACTCGAATGCATTTGTAAATTGTAATACATAAATAGATCTGCACAACCCATGCACTGGTACAAAGAAACGAAACATATTAACACACTAATACATAAACAATGGACTCGCATTGGGAATCCAAATGAAGAAGAAGGCAGCATTCTATCCATGAGCTCCCACTACTTCAAAGGGTCTCCAGTTTCCTTTCCAACCTTGCCCCACATTAACATTCTAGCTTCAACAATGGAATAACTTCATTCTCTTCATACGATCACCAAATCCTTAGCAGCCATGCTCCACTATAGCCTATAGGAACAACGGGGTCATATCCCACACTATCCTCTTCCTTATTCGTCAGCCATCAACCAAATATCCAACAAAAATGATAATAACCTACTCTACCAATTAGTGCAAAGGAAAGGTTAGAAGAATTAGTAGGTGTGTAAGACAATCTAGGTAACACTCACTTCTACCCTCTTCCCATTCAACACCATATAGTAAGAATTTCCCATCTCCTAAGATTGTTACTTAAACAAGCCAACCTTAAAGGAAGCCATTTTATGCTAGATGCTTTGGCATGGGAATTCAACACCAGACTCACCAGAAAGCAAACCATATATAGTCAGGGACAGAGCCAGAATTTAATCGTAAGGGGGGCCACATAGAAACAATGGCACAACAAAAAAGTTTATTTAACTGGATCATTCAACTTATTATCTTGAGCGTCAAAGTTTAAATGGTATAGAATTTATCACAATCAACATATGATACGGTGATAAAATTTAGTTTGGGTCATAAAATCTAAAAGTTAATTTTTATTTATGACTATAAAAATTAATTTGTGAAATGTGTCTACTTATTCTCTCATTTATAACATGGTAATGATTACGAAAAAATTATCATAGTAAAGATTAGTTTAGCTTGATCCCATTGTAAAAATTAATACAAGTCATGCTTGTAATATGATTTTGTAAAATATTTAGATCTTTAGTTGTTAACGGATTAACTGACCTATTTAGTTGTTAACTATCATGGAATTGAGCTTTCTGATCCTGTAAATGAAGGACCTTGTGTACTCAAATTTTTTAAAACTTAAAGGATGGCATAAGCATTTTGAAAACAAAGAAGGGGGTAAAGGGAATTTTTCAAAAATTGAGGGGGGCCATGGTCCCCTCAGGCCACACTTTAGCTCTGTCACTGCATATAGTGATCTAGCAATGAACCTTCATCAACTGAGCAACAACAGAAAGGACTCTACTGTGTTCATTTCCTGATCTTAAAAGCTCTAAAGATTTCGGATTCAACACCAATGACACATGATTAAGCAATCATACAAAGGCCTCTACTGTATTCATCTCCCCTACTTCAACACCACCACCCATCCATCTGAACTACTAGAAACTCCTCAGTAATCAATCACTTTGGGTCCTTTCCATCAAAGGAAATCTATGAACCAAGTGTAATGTCAAAACCTAATACTCTAACCACTCCCCACCAAGTAAACTTCTAGTCCTGTCAAGCCTCAAGCTTGCATAAACTGTCAACATATCTTCTTAATTGCGTAATTTCACCGTAAAATTTACTAAAGTTTATCAGTTGCTACTCAAGTTAATGTACTAGCCTTGTTGAATGGCAGGTGGCATAAACATACACCAACCCGGCAACCCCTACTATGTGCATGACAGAGTTTCATCTTCTGAGAAGCATTCAATAAACCATGGCCACTTATTTATATTCACCTGTAGTTTTAGAAATCATTTTCCATTTCCCTTCCAGGTATAAGACTTACTAGACAAGTTTCCATTTTTACAAAAGGAAAACCAAAATAATGAACACTAAAAAGCAGCACAATCCCAACTAGTTGGTGGCTCAATTTCTTGCAGAATAAAACAATAAAAAAAATAGTATAGTGGGGTAATAAATTACATTCAAATATCACATACTTTCAAATACGGAAGCCTAATTCATGTACCACTTCCATAGTTTCTCTATTCCACACCACAAGTTACACATTTTTTTACCACAAATTAGACATATCCATATAATTGTCAAATCTTTTACCTTCCAAGCCAACAGAAGAAGGAAGGTCTCAAGGCCCCAAGCCCCTCTATCAACATAATCCCCATTAAACACAAAAAGACGATTTTCCGATGGAAATCCAGCATCCCTCAACAAAAACAAAACATCATGCAACTGTCCATGCACATCTCCAACCACCACAACTCTGCAATCAGAACCCAACCCATCAATTTGCACACAATTCGGCTCTTTATGCAAGATCTTGGACGTTGATAGCACCAGACTATCAAAAACTTTCACGGGCAAAACAGAGGGAAAGTCTGACGGAGGCAGGTTCTTGGAAGCCCATTCGAAAGCTGACATCAAATCCATGACCCAGTTCAGATTTATGTTGCCATCGGAAGGCCATTGGATGGGGATCTGAGGTTGGTGAGAAGGGTCAGGTGGTGATGGTGATGGTGTTATTGACGCTGGTTTGTCTTCGGAAGATGAGGAAGAGACAGAGGAGAAAAAGTCTTCATCTGAAGATGGTGGTGGGTCTTTAACAGCAAGATCATCAGAAGATGTTGGTGGGATAGAAGAATTGTTGGTAACGATTGGAGATTCTGATTGCGAGAGCATGGTCTGGGTAAGGACTGTTTTTCAAGGTTTGAAACCCTAGAAAAAAGAGTCTGCAACAGTTTAAGCAGTTTATTTATCGGGAAGAACTAAGTGAGATGTGTTCTGTCCGGTCAGAGCCAGGCTGAGAAGAATTTTGTAAAGGAAATTACCGCCAAAGCCTTGTAAATTAACCTAATTATAAGGACACCTCGCCTATTTATTGAAAACACACTAACATCCACCCTAGAAGTATTTCTCCAATCGTGAAGATAACAAAAATGTGTTCTTTTTTTCTTTTTGAGCAACACTGTGGATCCCAATATTTATTAAGACCTACTATCTATTCAATGATTGTGATTATCAAATTTAATTTTTAAGTCCATCCAATATTGTTCTTTCCTTTTACCTTTTGAAAAAAAAAAAGGTGATCTCTTTCATTTTAGTCTCGACACTCCAAGTCTCGATCAAAACATTAGCTTATTATCGGATTTAAATCCATTCCAATGTTTTTTTCATAATTTTCTTCTTGACAAATTATATATCATTAATGAATGAGAAATCTTCTTAAAAATACAATAGGTTCCACTAAAATACATGATAGATGATCGGTGAATATCTGATTCACCTAATATCACCAAGTCCACTGAATTTCTTGTGCAATAGGCAAAAGACATAGGCATCTCGTCCAATCACCATGGAGTGAGGACAATGAGTCATCTAAGTCTCTACTATTGCAATTTGCCTATTTTGATCTGTAAATGTTGGGCATTGATGGTTAAGTGTGCATATCAAAATGAGTTTAATTGAAAAATGAAGGGCTTGTTACAGTTCCATCACAATCTGGGGATATATGTTCATATTGATATGAAATTGCCTTTTTTTCAACAATTTTGGTTTTAATTTCAATTGCAAGATGTTTATTTTGATTTGAAAATTTTAATATCTCAATTTTAATTCTAATTATCGTCTCCAATTTCCTTAATTTGGTTTGATTCTAACCTATTGAAGATGACAAGTCTATCTCTCTCTCTTGTACTTTGAATTTAGTTATGTGTTTGATGTGTAAACAATTGAAGATGAAGAATCTCTCTCTCTCTCTCACTTTGAATTTAACCTGTGTTTGGTGTATAAACTATTTTGTTGGGTTTTGTGATAATGATTGTGCCTGTGAAGGTATGAGGGTGTAAGGTAATTAATTAGCGAGCAAGAGAAAAGAATATATACAAGTATGAACTAATCTTGGTTTCTTAGAGAAAGTGGAAAGGGGGCTTTATCGTTATGAGGGAAAATTAATGTTAGGATTGACGAAAGTGTCATAATTATTTGTGTATGAGATAGATGTAGAGAAAAAGAATAAGGCAGAGGGTAATTTTAGTCTCTCAACTTTTAGAATTCAGGGTACAATTATTATCTTTGAAAAGAAACCCCATAATTTCAGAATATGAAAAAGTAAATATTAACTAAAAGGGGTGATAGTATCATTCTTGAAAATTTAAGGGGTACCTTTATATTCTAGATAAATCCATGGGAGAGTGTTTGTAATTTGATTATTTTTTCTTAGAAAAAAAATTAGGGTAGGTATTTTTAACTAACTGATGTGCGGTTCTGAGCTGGTGATGGGTTGGGTGGTGTCCTAACTCCTCAAAAGAAATAGGTTGATGTCCTCCACTACATACATTAAATTATGGTTAATCCTATATCTTTTAGAAGCCCTCTATGATATCCATTTTTTTTATTATTGTCCCAATTTTTGTCATTTTTTAAAGTATTTTTATCACTACAGTATATTTATAAAAATAATAATTTTTTAATTTTAACATAAATGAAGGAATAAAAAAATTACTATTTGGTATAGTTGGATCAATTTTTTAAACGTTTAAATTTTATGTTTTATTGTGCCTTCAGACACAAATTATCACTAGTATACTTATATAATAAAGTGATAACTGCGATGACATCTAAGCAATATGACATTTTCAAACTTGTGTAATTAACATGTGACCCCTTGTTTTCTTTTTTGTTGTGAATATAATTTTCTAAGGGATAACTAGCACATGAAGCATAGTGCAATGTAACTAATTTTGATAGGGATGTTAATAATAGTTGAATGAGTTTATTTAAAATCGTCAGATGGACTTATTAAAGTCTGTCATGATTTATATTATAGATATACTAAGGGTAATCCGTGTCTGAAGACACGGTACAATGTGAATGATTTTGAGAGAGATATTGATAATTGTTGGATGAGTTTATTTGAGACCATCAAATAAACTTATTAAATTCTATCCTATTTTATATTATGAATTTTTGTGTAGTTTAAAAAATTTTGCTTACGAGGTGAATCTAAACAATTAGATTAACGAGTTTTATCGAGAAAGTGAATTTGCTAACGATTGGATAGGCTTTTTGTCAGCTCTCTCACATTTACTCTTTTGTTTATTTAACGATTAGGAATGTTTGGACCAACTTATATATATTTTGATTAATCTCTTTTTTAGTCTGGTCAACGACAAGTCATCCATGACGGGACTAAAGTATTTATGATAGATAAAACTTTCATGGGAGAGCTTTAAGAGATTACCAAATTTTAAACTTAGAACGTTTAAATTTATTATTTATTCCAATTATCACTTAAATTATCCCTTGGGATTAACCTCTTTCGTAATTCTTGGATCCCAAGGATTGGAAAAGTTAAAAATTAATTAAGAATTAGGTTTTTCCTTTGGGTGAGGCTATTCCCACCCCCATTTAATTTCTTATTCTCAAACTACTAAACTCACCCCATTAGTAACTAAATTCATCTCGTGTTACATACACCTTATTAATAGTTAAACTCACTAATTTTATGTATACCTTTTTAATGAAAGAAATTATCGTAAGAAAAAAATAATAAAAGAAGACAATTAATTTGAATGCATAAATATATTTACAAAACAAGAAAAAAAAGAAAAAAAAATGAAACAATTTAAAAAAAAATCAAGCATGAAGAAACAAGAAAAAAAAAGAACGAACAAGAAAAAAAAAAGCAAAGAAAAAAGCAGACCGAAACAAGAAAAAAGAAAATAACAAAATAAGGAAAAAACATAAAGAAATAACCAAATCGAAAAAAGAAAAGAACAAAATAAGGAAAAAACATAAAGAAATAACCAAATCGAAATAAGAAGGAAAAAAAACCAAACAAAAATTAAAGGAACAAACAAAACTATAAAACGTAAAATCGAATATAAAAAAAAAATAAGCATCAAGCACAGATACAAAAATCAAACAAGAAAAAAATATCAAACATAGATTCAAAACCTTAACAAGATAAAAAAGAATAAATAATTTGAAAAGATATATATATACTCATGTAAATTCTAAATAAAAAATTATTAAACTTAACAAATATATCAAAACATACCAAAAATAATAAAAATTCATATAACAAACACGAAATCAAACATAGAATTAAATTGAGAAGTAATACTAACTTGGATCTCACTAAAAAAACTCATATTAAAAAAGTATTTTTGTGAATGCATGAAAAAAAATTGATAATAAAACTCTAATTATGATAAATATAAAGTGTGTTCACTTATTAAAAATGGGTGTATGTAGCATGTGTAAACTTAGTTATTAATGGAGTGTGTATAGAAGGGGTGTGATTAATAGTTTGATAATGAAAAATTAAAGGGTAAAAGGCACCAATGGTCCCCTAAGGTTTGACGCTTATTGCACTTTCATCCCTAAACTTCTAATTTTGTCAATTTCGCCCTCAATATTTACACATTGACCCACTTTAGTTCTTATCCTAACTTCCGTCCAAAAAACTAAACAAAAATGTCACGTGTCAAGCACATGAGGGTATTAAGGGACATTTTAGTCATTATACTCTCAAAACTTTGGGCATACATGTAAAAATAAAATAGTATCACAAAAAGAAAAAAAAATATTGCCCTTTCTCTTCTTCAACCCATCTCTCTCTCTCTCTCTCTCCAGCCAGCGACCACCCCATCTCTCTCTGCACAAGACTCCAAAGTTGGAATCGGGCTCCATCATCCACCATCGCTGGAAATCGAGCGCCACCACCCATCAGTGCTAGAATCAAGCTGCACCATCCACCACCGTTGGAATCAAGCGCCATCACCCATCGCCGCAGGAATCAAGCGCCACCATCCACCATCGCTAGAATCGAGCTCCACCACCCACCACCCACCACCGCTAGAATCGAGCTCCATCATCCACCACCCCTGGATTCGAACACCATCACCCACCACTGTTGGAATCGATCGCCATCGCCGAGCAGCCTCCCACTGTCAATCACTCCATCCCCTAAAAATCTCTTTGATTTTATTTCATTTTTGGTTTCGATTTTGATTTCGATTTTGAATTCAAACTTGATTTCAAAAGAATTGGGGCTTGATTGCCCATGGAGGTCTTGGAAAATCCAATTTTGAATCCATGTGGATGTATGTGACTGTGGGTTTGTGTTGTAGATATGTATTTGTGGGATTGTGTTGTGGATGTGTATTTGTGGTTTTTGTGTTAGATTTGAGGGTGGAAATGCAGTAACAAGAGAGGAGAGAGTAGAGAGGGAGATGTGTTGGGTTTGGGGTGGAGACGTAGTAATGAGAGACAAGAGAAGGGGATGTGTTGGGTTTTGGGGGTGGAGACGCAATAAATTAAGAGAGAGAGATGTCTGTGTGTGAGGAAGAGAGAACTCAGAAGGATTTATGCGTGTGTGAGGAGAGAGAAGAGAAAGGAAGAAGAAGGTGGGTGTTTGAGTTCAAGAATAATTGTGTTTGGATGTATAAATAGTTATAAAATATTAAAAATGTCCCTTAATTCCCTCGTGTGCTTGACACATGACATTTTTCGTTAGTTTTTTAGACAGAAATTAGGAGTAAAGACCAAAGTAGGTCAATGCGTAAACATTGAGGACAAAATTAGAAGTTTAAGGATGAAAGTGCAATAAGTGTCAAATCTTAGGGACCATTGGTGCCTTTTATCCAAAATTAAATGAAGTGAATAAAAATTTGTGAGACAAGAATAGTCACTTTTTTCCTTTTTTGGAACAAGAAGAATGAGTAAAGGGAGTCACAAAACAACATAGCTGTGGTTA